GTCCGCACTCAGTATTTTGCCCACGTTGGCCATTATTGCTGCCATGACTTTTAAATCAATGGAGGATTTATTGCTTTGATTATTAGTATCTAGAAAAACAGGTGTCAGCATGGTTAATTCCATCCTTCTGCCACGATCTTTGGTGAAAAATACCACTGCAGATGGATATCATTCTTATCTCTCCATATGGCATAAGAAACATTGCAAATACTCTTTTCCCTATTAAGGAATCATTTCTTCCCTCACCCATCAGTGATGAAGTACAGATTGGGTGGGAAGTGTACGGTCCAGAGTCCCCCGTCTGCATTTCAGATCTGCTGGTGCCTAGGGCCATCCAGCAGATGGACGGGTCAGCATAGTTCCCAAGGCGGAAGTCCAGTGAATCTTTAAAAATCTGATGGGCAAAGAAGGACTTGGTGATTGCCAAGCGTTCAGAGCCGTCTGCACCCAGTAAGGCCTCAGATCTCTATTCTCCTTGATCTGACGGCAACAATTCTGCTACCGGGTGGCGATTTGGAAATTACAGCTGAAATCAGGCTGCACGCTCCCGGCTATCCTATTCGACAGGACAGAAGACTGCTCTTCAAACAGCCCCTTGCATTCCTCTCTTTTTCTTTTTTTTTATGATATAAAAATTTGCATAACCCAAAAATAGGATAATGAAAGCGAAATACAGACATGGGAATAGAGCTGTCGAAGGATCATCACTGTAAAGCTGAAGATTTCGTTTCTATAGCATTTCTGCCCAACACATTCTTTTCCTTAGAGGACAGAGATTTAATGTTGTCGTGAGTTTATACAAACACACATTTTGTTGTCGGGAAATAACGTTTTTCATGTTTCCTTTAGGAAATGCTCACTTGGTACATTCTCTGGTAACTACCATCCGTAAAATAGACACAAAAGATGTGATACAAGAAGCTTGAAAGACCAGCGAATTATTGCAAATTACTTACTAGCACAGACAAGCTACTATACAATGTATTTTCTCAATTTCGGTCCAAAGCAACATTTAAGACAGCAGTAACAATTCATCTATTCCTACAAGATATGCTGGAATATGAAACAAAAAAAAAGTCAAAAGGCTTCTCTCAGATGCTTGAAACGTAAACCCCTTACAAGCTCAACTCTGCCGAACCCACCAACGCCCAGTGTCGCGATAATCTCAAGGCTCTGGAATGGGGATGATGAGGAAAATCTGGCCACCTTCTCCTTCAGCTGAATCATTTCCAGAGAGAGCGCTTTGGACAGCTTCCAGTTAGACATGGACCGCCTGCGCGAGAGATGGGAAACTTTACACGTGAGCCTCTGGTCAAGCGGGTGTCGTGCTGTACGTAATTCCACTCTTGCAACCGTCTTATTCCTCCCCGTAGCTACTACCCACAGTGCCACAGAAGCTAGCTCCACTGTGATGGGATAAGATCCAGGCACACCCAGGGAGAAAAAAACGGTACACAAACATGAAACTTACACCCCCCTCCACCCAAGAAACAGACAAATGTCAAATTGAGTAAGTGGAAGGTAAAATGGCTGAATTTTGGGATATTTAAAATACGCTTAAATAAAGCCATTAGAAACAACCAAAAAAAGGAGTCAAGGAAAGGAAATGAAACCAGAGACCCATTTCCTTCACTGTAAATACAGGAAAAGGCCACGCTGAGAATCTTTGCCACGTTTGGCTACTTTGGTCAGATCTTAAAGCTTTCTTTCCGTGAGTGAACCAAAATAACGGCTTTGTGCAATACGAAAAGTACATTTCTTACTCTCTGTCCAAGTATTGTTGTCTGGAAATACCCCTTTTTCTCTTTTAATTAAGGTTTACTGCTCTGAGTTATGTATCCATAAATTATTACCGAAAAAGGCTTTCGGCATACAAAATGCAAGTTTGCAAAACGTATAAAGTACTGATTGAATGTTCTAATTCAGGTTTCTAGAAATTTTGACCATGCAGCTTTGATAGCATTATCTGTCAAACATCGATATGCTCAATCATTCGCTCTAAAAAATATCTTAACAATTTTCATTTAACAAAGTAGAGTGTACCAGTAAATAAAAAAGTTTTTCATCACTATTACCATATTTAGAGCCCTACCCAGCCCCCTCCTACACACACACACACACACACACACACACACACACACACA